ACTTATTTGAATGCCCCAGGCAACACTCCAGGGATTTTATAAGACAGACTGATGACCCTTGCAGGACTTGCCCTCCTTCCATAAATCTCCCATGACTCACCGTAGGGGAGGGGAGATGGGTCTATTCTGTTTGCTTGTTTCAAGGTTACCGAGTTCCCTTTCCCAGGGTATAGTTCTACTCTTACTGTGCTGTGACTTTCTAAGAAAGCCTCCATTGCCATAGGATCAGAGCTGCTCAGAGATTTTCTGACAGAAAAGGCAGATTCATCGAATTCAAAATGTTTCTCAGGAATGGGACAATTTCAGGCCATCTTCTGACTGCATGGGCCTGGTTTCCTGCCAGCTCGCTTGCCCAGCTCCTTGGACTGCCTCAGAGTCAGGACCCCGGAGTTTCCAGGATCCGTGGCTCTGGGGCAGACAGCCGTGCAGATTACCCCAGGATTGGAGATCCCAGAGTTTCTAGGGTCTCCGAGGTGGGGCATGGAGCTGCCGATGAGCCAGGAGCCTTGGAGTTTGGAATCCCAGGTAGAATTTCATTTAGACCTTTTTGAAATGAAACAGTTGGATTGTTTCAAAACAGGTTTTTGCCCGAATTTTCCATTCAGGGGAAATTCCAACATTTCGACATTTTCTTCTGACATGGAACTTTTTTTTCCTCCAAAATTTCTCGGGAAGGGAAATTCCCACTGTCCACATGTTCTAATCTGAGCGTGTGACAATCTTCAGTGCATTTCTCCTCACAACCACCCCTCTGAGGTAGAGCAGTGCTATGATCTCCATTGTACAGGTGGGGAACTAAGGCACACAGAGACTTGGGCCTAGTCTGCACTTACAAATTAGACCGACCTAGCTATGTCACTCTCAGCCTGAGCGCTGTAGTCAGGGCTACCCATGTAGCTGTGGCTAGGTCGACAGAATAATTCTTTCGTTGACCTAGCTACTGCCTCTCGGAGAGGTGGATTACCTACCTCAACGGAAAAAAACCTTCCATCAATATTGGCCATGTCTGCACAGCTGCAGAGCCAAAGCTCAACCCCTGTAGTGTAACCATGTCCTAAGTGACTTGCTCAAGGTCACATAGGCAGTCTGTGGCAGAGCAGAAACTTGAACACAGTCCTTCTGAGTGCTAGACTAGTGCTCTAACCTCCCGACCACCCTTCCTGTCTAAGTGTAAGTTAAATGTAACCTACTCTCTTCCTAACCTACTCCACTCCCACTACCAGCAGTACAGTCAATTTTACACTGCCATTCCACTGAAATCAGTGGGACTTTAGGATATCCACAGTGCATTCAACCGTAATCGGCAGGTTAGGAGCAGCTTCAGTTTTTGCACGAACACAGAGAGGAAAATGCCATTTGTGTCTCTGGACAGATGTAACAGATGGAATAATGACAGTATGTTGCAAAACTCTGCATACCTCAACCCGGGGCTGTATCAGGCCACCACTTCATGCGCATTTCCCACTGCATACTTGTTGACAGGCCAAGAGCCTGTCCCAGGCGTGATTCGGCAGATCATTTTGAACACCCGATATGTCTGAAACAATTGCAAACAGCTCCCGGATGTGTCATGAGCAGGACAAGGGGTTACATCATCCAGTTAGTTAAATGCTACACACAATTTTCTGGGCTCTGATAACTAATGTGCAGCATGCATAATAGGGATTGTCTTTGGAACAGCATGAATATTAATTGTATTATGGTATCAGCGAGTTACCCCAGCCAAGATCAGGGCCCCATTGTGTATAATAAGAGATAGTCCTTGGCCTGAAAGTCATACAGTCTAGATAATAAGAAAAGGAAGAATTATTATCCCCATTTTACAGGTGCAGAACTGATGCCCAATGAAATTAAATGACTTGACCAAGGTCATCCATGGTGTCTGTGGCAGAGTTCCAGTGCAGAGAGCGACTGCAGAGTCACAGTCCAGTGTCTTAACCACTGTTATAAGCAAATGTTATGATATCCCCATCATAGGTCACGAGTAGCGTCTGAACCAGAAACCTTCAGCACGAAAACACAAAGCTGTATCACTTGAGCAGAAGGATTAGCTCCAGTAGCAGGATCTTAGCCTCTCTGCAGACTAACCACCATAAACACTTTACAAGCAGATCACAAAAGTGTTTCCATCTCTGACATACTTTGGAGGAATAAGAGGAAAGTCTAACGCAGTCAGCCTAGACTCAGCTCCCTCCCAGCCCCTGAAGCACTCCTTAGCTCTGAGAAATACTAATTTGATCAGCAGTATTAAGCAGATCCTGGCCCTCAGCCATCACTTACATAACCAGCCATGGAGCCAGCTCTGTCCTCAGCCAGCCAGAAGTATAAATATCTGGCACAGGAAATGAGCTATGGGTCAGTAGACACCCAAAGGTAGAGTCAAGCCCTGTTTAAAGATGGATGCAGTCCCTCTCCCTTCCTCACTTTATTGGCGTACTTAATAAAATCACCTGCTCAGTGCCTGATCTGGAGAATAAATCCAATTGATGCTTACTAACAAATTTGCTCCTTAAAGGGGACCGGCATTGTGCTGTAATATGAAAAGCTCATCTAATCACTCCATCAGTAATTACAAAGAAGAGTAAATCACTAATTAAAATGTGAAAGTGTCTTACACAGTATATAATAAGGAAGGGTAATTAACAATCAAAAGGGAAGCCTCCGCCTTGGCACTGAGATGGTGTGTGTTAAGATGCAAGAAATAATAATATTCAGGTCGTATACAGCACTTTTAATCCATAGATCTCAGGCACTTTTGCCAAGGAAGGCAAATATTATTATCCCCATTTTACAGCAGGGGAAACTAAGGCACAGAGAATTGAAACGGCTTGCCAAGGTCACACAGCACATCAGTAGCAGAGCTGAGACTGTCTAGCTCCTAGGTCACTGTTTGTCCATTGGACCAGACTGCCTCTGCGTTTGAATGCCTGGGGAGGACGCTTTCAGCACTGTAAAGTGATTGCTATTTTTTTTTTTATGTTTGTGGTTAATTTAGCAACGACTTAACTGTTAAATTTAACCAGTAAACAACAATAAACCGTCCCTTGCAATGGCTTTGAAAGCGTCCTTCCTTTCTAATGCTGAGATGCATAGCTGACGTGCTGAACTACATCATCAGGCTGTCATGTTCTGATGGAGAAGGCAGCAAAATATCAGATTGAGTCAGTAGCGCCCCCCACAGCTCTGGAGTGAGTGAAGCAGCGAGAGACATTTCTTAATGCAAGAGGTGCTGGTTTTGCCCTGCTCTGCTCCTTGTGTTCTTTACACCTGTGAAGAGAGAAAGTAAAATGCTGCCCAATCAAAATTCTCCTCTTACTCGCCTGAACGGTAGCATTTGACATGCATTTTGCACTCCTGCTGCATAAGAGTTCATGAACAGCACAAGTGGAGAACCAGCTCATTGCGAGAAGCAATGACTGGACCTGGCTGGGAACTGGAATTTCCATCCCGGGGGAAATTCTGACATTTTGGGGGCAAAAATCATTCTGAATCGGAACGAAAAGGTAAAATTTTCCATGAAATGAAAATTTAAAAAAAAAACTGATTTGGGACCATTGAAGCATTTCATTTTGTTTAGACTTCTATATTATACGAAAACATTAAATAATGTTACCTAGGTAACATTAACTATAATTCATATCATAGACTATTAAATTAACAATTTGCCATTGCATAGAAGTCTAAACAAAAATGAATCAAAATGATAAAGCCAAAGCGAAACATTTAGACAGTGTCGAAACTAAATATTTTGACTTTGGCCTATCAGAAATTCATCTAAATTGACATGTTCCCATGATACGTTTCAATTTCAGTTAGACTGAATTTTTCAATGGAAAACTGTCCATCACAAAATTATTGATCAGGCCGAATGATGACTATGTAGAGTCTTAGCATTAGAGACAGAGCAAGAGCTGTCCTATAATCTCCCTTTGAGGGGAGGACTAGCTCAGTGGTTTAAGCATTGGCATGTTAAACTCAGGGTTTTGAGTTCAATCCATGAGGGGGCCATTTAGGGAACTGGAGTAAAAATCTGTCTGGGGATTGGTCCTGCTTTGAGCAGGGGGTTGCAATAGATGACCTCCTGAGGTCCCTTCCAACCCTGATATTCTATATAACTTAATCACTGCAGGTTTCCTTTAAAATGACTAGCCCATGCTCGCAGAGTGAATGAGTGGTGGAGCAGAGGCTGGAGTACTTGACTCCTCACCCTGTTGTTTTGCCTAGGACAGTGCTTCTCAAACTGTGGGCTGGGACCCCAAAGTGGGTCACGACCCCATTTTAATGGGGTCCCCAGGGCTGGTGTTAGACTGGCCAAAGCCCAAGCCCCACCGCCTAGGGCCAAACCTGAAGCGTGAACCCCACTGCCTGGGCTCAGGCTTCGGCTTCAGCCCAGGGTGGCGGGGCTCAGGTTACAGGCCCCATGCCTGGGGATGAAGCCCTTCGGCTTCAGCTTTGGCCCCCCCCCCCGCCCGGAGCGGCATGGCTCCGGTGGGCTCACGCTTCAGTTCCCCCTCCTGGGGTCGTGTAGTAATTTTTATTGTCAGAAGAGGGTCGCAGTGCAATGAAGTTTGAGAACCCCTGTCCTAGGCCATACATGTATTAACTTCAGTGACTTAAGACCAATGAAAATCACCCCATCTCACGCATATAGCAAGGTGTTGCCGATCCAGAGCCCACAGATACTGATTGAAGACCTGCAAATTGGGCTGTCTGGTAGGTTGCCAGTGGCTTTTTCTGGCTTTGGACAAAAAAAAGTCTAGCACAGAACCACACTGGCAACAGAGAGAAGCCACCCCCTTAGACCAAGAAGGAGCAAGGCATGGGCTGCATTGCAGAGGTCCACGGGTAGCACTGGCCCTATGGAGAGCAGTATTGCTGCCTCTGGTCGAGCCGGCACCGTGGAAAAGCCCGAGTGACCGGTCTGTGACCGCAGCAGCTCCTCTCTGGAGTTGCCCTGCTGGTGAATGCGTGATATTTTTTCCCTGTTCTCTTTGTTCCAGCTGATGCAGCAGCAAGCGGCTATCATGGCATCCGTGGCACAAGGGGGCTACCTGAATCCCATGGCAGCCTTCGCCGCAGCCCAGATGCAGCAGATGGCAGCGCTGAACATGAACGGCCTGGCTGCTGCTCCCATGACGCCAACCTCAGGTAAGGAGCCCGCAGGGCAGCAAGAGGAGTCGGAAGCAGCGGGCTAGGGAGGGAGTTTCCCAGACAGAGGGAGCTGTGCTAGAGAGCAGAGAAAGGGGGGACTGTCACAGGGGGCGCCCAGAGGGTAGCAGGAAAACCCAGAAAGGCATTCTTCATGGAAAGGCCTGATTGTCCTGCCATCTGCAGGGAGTCACCCTGCTCTGAGGGCAGTGAGGGGGAGCCCGGGTAAGATTGGGGGGCAGAGCTCCCAGATCTGGAGTCGCAGTCCATTCTGAACTTGCCCAAAGTTTTGCGCACCCTCTCATGGGGCGTTCCAGTCTGAGACAGTCTAGAGAGAGACCAGAGCCGTGGTGTTCGGTTCTGGAGCTGAACCAAACCAGGGGGCTTCGGTTTGAGGCCCGTCTCTGCCGGCCAAGTCCACGCCATCCTTTGTCGTGCCATAGGCAAGGAGCCATCCTCTTGCGCCCCCGAAGCCGCGGCTTCCCTTTTAAGATGTCAGGGAAGAGCTACAGCAGGAACCCTGCTAGCTCTGACTGCTGGAAACACAGCAGCATGGGTTTGGCCTGGCCTAGCGAAAACCATAAGCAGTGCCACCACGTGGGGTAGACTGGGGCAAACCAGAGAAAACACCCCCCTGGACCCCACATCCCCTGCTCCCCTATGCTCCAGGAGAACGGATGGGTGGAAAAATATGCCAGAGGGTGGCACTGATTTGCAGGGGAGGCCTGACAACAAAGGGGATAGCACCGCAAGGAAGCATGATCATCCACACCAGCAGGATTGCTACAAGCAGAGCCTGTAGTAGGAGCAGACACCTCAGCCCCCAGCACCTCACCCACACCCCTCTGTGGGGGTTTTTGATACCCTGGACTTAATGGTGAGGGCCACCGTTTTTCAGAGAAAAGCCTTGGACGCAGCAGGCCAGATCCTGAGCAGCGCTGAGCGCTTTTCATTTCCCGTTGACGTTAGCAGGCGCTGCGGGTGGTCAGTGCCTCTCGGAGGCAGGTCGCTTGTTTAGGTGGGCGTAGATGCCTGTAGCTGAGCTTGACAATATCGGCCTAAATACGGCCTTTCTGTGCCTCAGTTCCCCGGTTGTGTGAATGGGGATAAGACTCAGTGTGGCTTGCCGGGGGCGTTGCGAGTCTGGATGTGTGGTTGTAAAGGGCATCGGGGGAGAGATGCTAATGTAGCACAGTGTGATTGGGCAAAGGAAGAAAGGGAGGAGATCGAAGAACAAAGAACCGGCCGCTACTGTCCATTTCAGAGCAGGGGCCAGACTGGAGCAGGAGGGAGGGGCCTGGCCAAGGGCAGAGAGGCCAGGTGACATCACCACGATATAATAACTGCTGAGGTGACGTCAGACCGGGACACGTGCAGTTTACAGCCGCAAGGCAGGGTTCTCAGGGAGGAACTGGGAACAAACGATGCTCAGCAGGGAGCTCACGGGGGGCACAGTTCCTGCCGTAGGCATCTCTGTTATTTAGTGGATCACTAGGTTGTGGGAGTGCAGGGCTCTCCTGGCCTTCAGCTCACACACGTTTTAACAAAGAGCTTTCCTTCGGCCAGCACCGTTACACTGAAGCACTGCTGGCTGCCCAGCAAAGAGAACGAGAGCTCTCTGGCTCGGGGGAACCAGCCAAGTGCTGTGAATCGTGTAAGGAGGGGGGGTGAGCAGGAAGGGGAGATGATGGGCATGAGCCACTTTGTGTTGAGTGCAGCCACCTTCTTTAGAGGGTGTTGGGGAATACGTGTAAAATTTGGATCTAGATTTCACACACTCGGTAGTGTGAGATTGCGGAGGTTGGTGAGGCTCATCTCTGGTCAAACGTTTCCCGTTTAAAGTGCTGAGCAAATATTAGTCAATCTGGTCTCACGACTGCCGTGGAAGGGAGGGGAAACTGAGGCAGGGGGATTAAGGAGGTATATGGAGGCTTTCAGCTGCTGCCTATGTTGAATGGGGAGTGTGCAGGGGTGCCGCTGCAGAGAGCTGCTGCCTAGCAGAAAGTCTGGCTAACCCCATCACATAATGCCATTCATAAAGTTACCAAGGTCCAGCTTAAAACCAGTTCGGTTGTTTGCCTCCACTGCTCCTATTGGGAGACAGTTCCAGATCCTCTCCCCTCTGATGGTTAGAAACCTTCTTCTAATGTCCAGCCTTCATTTACCCAGGGCTAGTTTAGCTCCATTTGTTCTTGGGCCAACATTGTCCATTAGTTTCAACAGCTCTTCCCCCACCCTGGTATTTACCCGGGATGTATTTATAGAGGGCAATCAGACTCCCTCTCAGCCTTCTTTTTGCTAAACTAAACAAGCCCTGGTCTTTGTCTTCTCTTGTCAGATAGGCCCTCCATCGCCCTGGTTTTCCTATTAGTCCTTCTCTGCACCTGTTCCAGTCTGAATTCATCTTCCCAGACTTCTCCAGTGCACATCAATATCTGTTGTAGTCTCCATTTGCCTCCTTGCCAGCTGTCGTTGTCCAGAATAGATCTGGTTGGCAAATAGTAACTACATTCCCTGGAAAGTTTGGAGAGAAGTGACACCAGTTTTTTTAGGTCTGTAATTTTCCGGGTTTTTCATTGAAATTACAATTTTCATTTTTATTCAACTTGATTTGAATCAAAACAAAAAATGTTTTCTTTTTTCTTTTTTTTTGGTTTCCACTCCCTTCATTCCCTTTTTTTCCTCCGGAAAGAAGGCAGGGGAAAGGAAACTGAAACCCGAACATCTTTCATTTAGATTTGAATAAAATTGAATCAAAACTATTTTTTTTTTCATTTTGATGAAAAAATTGATAATTCTGAACTCTACCCTGGTGGAGAGGAAAGATTGTCTAGTGACTAGGGCACTACCCTAGGACTTGAGAGACCTGGGCCAATTCCTTGCTCTACCACAGGCTTCCTGTGTGAACTTGGTCAAGTCACTTAGTCTCTCTGTGCCTCAGTTTCCAATCTGTACTATGGTCACACTAGCACTGTCCTCCTGTTAGGGGTACTGTGAGGAAAAAATACATTAAAGATTGAGAGGTACTCAGATACTATGGTAATGGCAGTCAGATACGTATTTAGATAGACCCCAAAAAATGCTCAGAGATTTTCATATAATTTGAAAAGCCACTTTTAAGTGTAAACTTTGGACCATCTGTAGTTATAACAGGACTAGCCAGAGGCACCTTAGCTTATTAGATCCTCCGGTTCATGGGGGCATCATCCTTGGATAGCATTTACTCTGCCAGCTCTGTCATACCGGCCTAGTGTACCCACAGCAATCACGGTCTTGGGAGCATGAGGTCTGACTTGTTCCCTGAGAGCTCCAGCTCATATTAGCAAAAGTGCCTTACGTTTTCAAAGGCACCGACGCCCTTCAGCCCCCATTGACTTCAGTGGGAACTGCAGGTGCTGTTTGAAATCCGTGCCGAAGCACAATATCGGTTTAATGTTCTCCATAGTTCTCCTGAGGGGGTGGGCAATGGGGACAGGTGGAAGGAGGTGAGATAATGAATGCAGTGTTGTCTGGTGTCCTGCATCTGGCCTGCCTGGTTTTGCTCATGGCCAAAGTACACAGAGCACCCCCCCCAAGAGAGGGAATCTCGGCCTGTGAATTGTGGTGGCCAAGAGGGTTGAGAGCTTCCTTCCATTTCCAGTAACTCAGACACCAGGAGTGCCCTGTAAACCATTGTACCAACTCCCCCAGAGTCATCGTCAAGGCACCAAGCAACCCAGCGCTGCCCTGAAAGCGCTGCGCAAAGGATTCTGGGATGCACCCAGTTCTGAATGACCGATTGGCACTGGAAAGGCTGGGAAGCCCTGCCATGATCGATGACAGTCTCACTGTGTGAATGCAAAGGAAAAGTAGTAAAGCTGGGACTGCCGGTGGGCAAGCTAGGGTTGAGAATGACATGGGGTGACAAGGCCCTGAGCCGGCCTCGAAGCAGCAGCCGGTCACAGGGTGAACTGGCCCTTCAAGAGACATGAGGGCTCAGCTGCACCTGTGCCAGTTTTGGCCTGCCTCTCCCAATGGAGGCAATGAGCAAAGTCACCTAATGAGGAGTCAAGTGACCTGGAGCCAGGCCAGCCTGCTGGGGGATAAAAATTGGGGAAAGAAGAGAGGCAGCTGGAGGCTGATGGTGGTTGGTGAGTCTGTGCCCCCTTCCTGGCTGAAGCAGGAAGGGAAATGCTGTTTAAGACCTAAGCTAGGGTGTGCTGTCTTGGAAGAAGTGCGGTGGCAGGGAGAAGACAAGACACCCCAGAAGGGTGGACCTTTGGGGCTTAGCGGAGAGCTAAGTCGCCTTAGCATTTGTTTGCCAAACTACCTGGGCCTGTGAGAATCCACTGGCTCACACAAGCCCTAACATCTCCTTGCAGCTGCATCTGGGGACAATGTCAGCGGTTATTGATTCAGTCAAGGGCCTTCTTACCTATCTCTCCCCTTGCTTCTCTTGTTATAGAAAAAAAAAAATCTCATTCCAAGCTGGCTTACGGAAAGCCAAGGAAATGCTTGACTTGGAAATCTTACCCCATACATTTCAAAATATGTGTTTACACAACGGTAAATATATAAACAACGAGTCGATGGAGCTACTGCAAAACCAAATAGAAAAGTGGCTTAATTATATCTGCACCCTTTAAACCCGCTGCTGACAAGATTATCATATTTGCATTAGCTAGATTTGTTTTGTGTTGGTGGGAGCGGAGAGAGCGTCAAACAGCAAACACCTGGAATTCAAATGCTCTCAGGGCCTGAAAAGCACTGAATCCATCCAGTGTGGTGCATGGTGGCCCTGACACAAAAGAACACAAGCTCTTTTGCATATTCATAGATTCATAGATTCTAGGACTGGAAGGGACCTCGAGAGGTCATTGAGTCCAGTTCCCTGCCCGCATGGCAGGACCAAATACTGTCTAGACCATCCCTGATAAATAAGGCTTGAAAATGAATGAGTTCTGCAACTTAGTTGTGTAAATACCAATATAACAGCCAAATGCTTTGGCTGCCATGATATA